GCGGACAATGCCACAATAATTTCTCCCGAAGTTTGTTAAATTGACCAAAATTAGGCAAATGAATGGCGGGTCTGTCGGCGACCCCGCTCGCAGGTGACGGCGCACAATGCGCTCCGGGCCAGCTGCGGGCCCCGCTTTATTTGCCCCTCTTTTCTTCGCCCCGCATTATTAAAATTTCGGCCCGATGCGACCATTCACGCTCCTCAATGGCACATTTTCCTATAGGATAATAGGCTACAAATTGGGCCTCTCCAGCGCGGGGCGGGGGGGCCCGGCCCGCGGCCGCGCCGACACAAAAAGCGGCGTCGTGTGCCAAAGGCCGCCCGCAGCCGCCCGCGGCCCCGGGGGGGGGGAGCGGGGCGGGGGGGCGTGTGCCAGCCGAGGGCCCACACCTGCCGGGTGCCCCAGCAGCACGGAGCGCCGGCACAAAGCCGCGCTGCCAGCGCTCATAAAGCCGCCCGTGTCACCGCGGCGCGTGAGAAAAGCCGGTGAACAAACGGGGCCACTCCGGCTCCGGGGACTCTCCCCGCCGTCGGGCGGAACAGCCTATTAAGGGCTTACTTAATTACTGTAATGACTCTGGACAGGCTTCACGAGGCGGTCAGCGCTGCCCGGCGGGGCGGTGCGGTGCCGCGGGGAGGTGGTGACGCGCCCCGCACGCCGCGCCCGACCCGGCCCGGCCCTGCCCCGCTCGTGGGCGTCACGTGCGGACCGGGGCGGGGGGGGGGGGGGACGTGGGGGGAGCGGGCGGGCGGCCCCCCCGGCCCTTCTTTCCCTCGCCCTCGCCCCTTCCTTCCCGCTCGCCCCTGATCTTTAATGCATACATTCCCCGGCGCGGCGCGGCTCGCCCTAATCCTCTGGGCTCAGGGGCCCGTGGGGGCCCCGTCCCCCCCAGGCGCGGCGGCTTTATAAGCGGCCCCGCGGCGCGGCCCCGCACTGCCGCCATGGCCTCGGGCCTCAAGGAGCGCAGGGTGAGCGCCGGGCCGCCCGCACCGCGCGCCCCGAGGGTACCCGCCGCGGCCCGTGACGCGCCGCCTGTTTTGCAGAGGACGCCCGTGTCCCACAAAGTGATCGAGAAGCGGCGGCGGGACCGTATCAACCGGTGCCTGGCGGAGCTGGGCCGCACCGTGCCGCTGGCGCTGGCCAAGCAGGTGGGTGCGGGCGGCGGGGCTGGGCGGGGGAAGACGGGACGGGACGGACGGAGCGCGGAGCGGGGCCGGGCTGACGGCGCGGCTCGTTGCAGGGCTCGGGCAAGCTGGAGAAGGCGGAGATCCTGGAGATGACGGTGCAGTACCTGCGGGCGCTGCACTCAGCCGACTTCCCCCGCGGCAGGGAGAAGGGTAGGTGTGGGTGCGGGGGGCGCGGCGGGGCGGCCCGGCCCCGTTCCTCGTTCCCTGCTCCCCGCTGAGCGGAGCCGCGCCCCGCCGCGCCCCGTCCCGCAGAGCTGCTCTCCGAGTTCGCCAACTACTTCCACTACGGCTACCACGAGTGCATGAAGAACCTGGTGCACTACCTGACCACGGTGGAGCGGATGGAGACCAAGGATACCAAGTACGCCCGCATCCTCGCCTTCCTGCAGTCCAAGGCGCGCTTCGCCGCCGAGCCGCTCCTCGCCGCGCAGCCGGAGCCCGACGCCGCCTTCCCGCCGCCCCCTGAGCGCCCGCCGGTCCCCCCTGAGCCCTTCCCGTGGCCGTACGGCCCCCTGCCCGCCCCCGCGGCCCTGGGCGGCCCCGGGCAGCAGCGCGCCGCCTTCCTCCCGTCCGCGCAGGGCCTGGAGCGCCGTTACCTCGGCTTGCTGGGCCCGCCGCCCCCCGGCGCCTTCGGGCTGCCGCCCGGCCAACACCCTCCCGCCGTGCTATAGGGCCGCGGCGCCGCGGACTCCGCCTGGATGGCGCCGGAAGAAAGCTACGGGCGCGGCCCCGCGTGTCTCGTGGGAAGCTTTCTCGGCTTCCCCCGGCACGGAGCAACGGGGCGCGGCGCCTCGCCCCGCACTGGGCACGCACCGCCCGCGCCGCGGCCCGGTACGGGGCCCGAGGCGGTGGGGGGGCACGGCGCTCTGTCCGGAGCGGGGCGGGCAGGCGCAGAGCCGAGCACCCGCGTGCCCCCCCCGCGTCCCGGTGCGGGGCTGCGAGCCGGGCGCGCCGCAGGATGACCGCAGTCCGTGAACCGTCCTCCGCGCTTCTGCGCGCAGGCAAACGGGCTGACGGACAGACGGACAGTTCGCCGCCGCAACGCGCCGTGCGCAGCGCGTGCCTCCCGTCCGAAGTGCCGCCGCAAAGGAAGGGAAGGGCCGTGCGGGAACAGCTCCGGCCCGCAGCCCCGGGCGCCCTCGCCGTGCTAACGGGACGCCGCGAGAGTTGTGCTCCGAGCGTTGAGCGGGTGTATGACCCCCTTCTTCCCCTTTGGCATTGTAGCATTAAAGATACAGTGTTTCCCTGGACGTATAAATTATTAATAGATTCATTTCGGGCACTGTTAACCAAATCAGACAGAACTTCCCCGGCTAAGTAGATTTTCTCTCTAGGATTAGCAGAGGGCCACCACGGACAAAACTGCCGTCATTTACATACAATTTTGCCAACTAGCACTGGCCCGTGACAGTCTTTGTATCTCGAATGTTGCTATCCGGGATGTTTTTTTTTGTCCTCTCCGTTTTCATTTGGCCGCGGAGGATAAACCCCTCCGGCTGCACAATGACCCGGCGATAAGCCTCCCACAGCCCCGCACACGCGCCCCTCGGCCCCACACCGCCGCTGGGCTCAGCTCTTCCCGCAGCCCCGGGTGCTCTGCACCTCACGCTGACGCAGCTGTCACTCACCTGGGCAGTAGGTGAGGTTACGCTCATCTCCGCAACGTTGCGTTACTGAAAACATCTCCAACTCACCGATTTATCAGAAGGATTTATTTGAGCTATTGTGGGAATAAACCATCACCAGTTAGCTCACAGAGACACACAAGCAGCTTGCATCCGTCCACTCTACATTCAGAGTTTACATTCTGAACAGGCCCAGAACCAGCAAGAATGTTCCCGTACCATGCTTATTTCACTCTGAAGAGCAGGCTTATGAGCTGAGCGTGCCCACAGCACAGAGCAGAGCGCTTCCTTCTTCCCGACTTTGCAGCACACCTCGTGCACAGCCACGGCTTCAGTACCACACTGTGTGCTTCCCACCCTCAGACACAGAGCCCGTGCAACAGGGTACAGCCCCTAAATTGAAGCAAGCAGAGTAATTTCAGGATAACTTGTCAGCTGATGGCAAGGTTCCTTTTATTTGACTTTGGTAGCACTTATGACCCCTCGTCCCACAGCAGCACAGCTCCGGTCGGTCTGTGACTCCTGGTGTCTCTGGCCCATGGGATGCCACCACACTCCTGCTCCCCTAAAGCACAGAGGATGCCTACCTGTGCCACCTTCTGCAGGGAACTGCTTTAGCAGGGAGGTTGGACCTGACGATCGCTTGCGGTCCCTTCCAAACCCTGCCATTCTGTGGCTCTGTGATTCCACCAGGATCACACTGCTCACACCAGGAGAGCACAGGGTCTGTGGCACCTGGGTGCAAAGCCCTCCCTACCCACAGCAGCTTCTTTCCCTGCTGCCTCTTTTGGAGACAGCTCATTAGTTCTGAAGCAGCTGCACACTTACCAGCAACTCCTCTGCAGAGATGGTCTGTGGGAAGGAGACCTCCCAAGCTGACAGGTGTGTGTCTGCTGAAGAGGAGCTGCAAGAAGTGGAGCTCACAGATGTGCCTGCTGCATCCATCCCCTCTGACATCATCACATTTATTTCTAGCAAAAAGAACTGCATTTTAATACACACACAGGTTAAGGCTCTGATATCTACCCATATGCCACACAGTGGCATGTTAAACCAAAACTCATAAAAAAGTGAGAGACAGCAACATCACATACATCAAACGTGAGGAAAGAGGAGTAACTTAGGAGATTCCAACTCAGAATACCAAATCCAGTTGAATGTATAAAACATTTTTAACATTCATCTTTACGCTACAGCAATGGAAACATGCAGTATATCTCAGCAACAGTAATGCAGTTAACTGGGATGAAATGAATACTCTCTCTAGAAAAATTTTGAAGTTTCAGAGATACGCCATAAAAGTTTAAAGGCAATTTAATTTTTAATAACTAATACATACTTAAAAGTGCAGTCCTCTTCTAGGAAATGAGTAATGTAATAATAATAATAAAAGCCTTCCTTACTGAGGGCATCCTGCAAGGGAACAGGGAATGCATGACGGGATCCACAACTTAGCCATTACATGTTTGGTGAACATTGTGGAGCCTGAGGGCTGCACCCACAGCCTGTGAGAGGAGTTACACCCACTCACAATGCAGTCCTGCGTTTGGAAACTCTCAGTCACCCACTGGCTCTGAGCTCAGCTGTGAGCCTCAACGCACACCCACATTGTCAGCCCTTGAAGGGTGCAGGCATTTAGAGGAGGATGCAGCTCAACCCAAGCCCTCCCAGCCAAGCTTATGGCAGGAAGTGCCTTCAGTGGCTCAGCAGCCTGTGGCTCCTTATCCCTAACCCTAGGCTTAGGCATTCTTCTAGGAAGCTGAAGTCTCAGGCTTGAAGTCTTTGAGGCTAAAACTTGGGTCTTCTTTGGGAGACCATGTTCATAATCACTCTGCCCCTCTGAAGCCACTTCTGTTGAATTCAAACGAAAGTGTACCCTGGTTAGCCCTCTGAGAGGCATAAGGTGATTAAGACATCAAATAGCAGACTTCCAATTTTGAATTGCGAGCATGAAGTTGAGCTCCAGACAGTGACAGTGTCGGGGTACTTTCTCCATCCAGGGAAGAGGGAGGGAGGATTGCTGCCCTCACACCAGCATACTTCTCTCCTGGACATGCGTGGGCTTGGGGTACTGCACGAATGAACAGCAGTACCACAGAATCCTAGAATCATCTGAGTTTAAGGAACCTTTGCAGGCCATCCGGTCCAGCTGCCCTGCACTGAACAGGGACACCTACAGCTCCATCAGGAGCTCAGAGCCCCTCCAGCCTGACCTTGGCTGTCTCCAGGGATGGGGCATCCACCACCTCTCTGGGCGACCTGTGACAGTGCTTCACCACCCTTAGTGTAAAACACTTCCTCCTTACGTCCAATCTAAATCTCCTGTCTTTTAGTGTGAAACCATTTCCCCTCGTCCTGTCACAGCAGACCCTGCTAAAGAGTCTGTCCCCCTCCTTACAGCCCCTTCGATACTGAAAGGAGGCCCTACATACACATCAAGCCTATATAGGACCTCTGCCACCATTTGGTTGGATTCAGTTTTGTTTTTCTCAGCATTTCCTAGTAGACTGTGCTGATTCTTTGCTTAAATGTGGGTTTGCTGGAGCCTCATAACTTCCCACGTATGCTGCATTAGTGCCATTCCAGAGGATGAATTCACAGAAATCAGCCTGCAAGGGTCAGTATTTTATGGCTAAGATACAGGATGGATCTTTTTGTTAATTTTTTCCCCCCAAACTAAAGTGTCCACCTGTACAACCTTACTGACTTACAACAGTGACATCATGATAGCTACAAGTGAATGTTAGCGTGCAGAATTTTGCTGTCAAAGGATATAGGACAGGAACAATTCACCTTTACTTCCAAATCCACTGCTGGGTTTTCAGGACTGAGATCTGTAGAAAGAACAATGGTAAAACCTACAGAACTAACCTCACATGTCTTCACTTTCAAAAAGAGAAAATTTATCAGGGATCAATGAGATTCATCAAGCACAGATTACACATTTTCACAAGCCTTTGGAGAACCTGAAACAACATACATTATATACAACACAAATGTATATTGGAAAGTTCTAAGGAAATCACCAGTCCTGCATGTTCCACTGTAGAACCTCTTTTGATAGAAGGATGTAATAATAATTTCCTTACATCACACACTTTATTCATACATTACCTTCTCGTTTCTTTTAAAAAAAAAAAAAAAAAGAGATTAAAAAAACAAAACAAAACACCTCCACCTTTTATTGGAGTTTTGTTATTCTCTTTGATGTCTGGAGAAGGACGGGGAAGCATTTGGAAAAAGAACAAAACCAGAAGTATATTTTTTGTTGTGGAAAGCCAAATAAAACCTGTTAGATGGCTAAGATGCATGAAAACCAATTAAATGTTGCTTAAGGTTACCAGTGCTTAAGTTGGTTACAAATTATTGTCTGCAGAAAAGTCATTACATTAAAGCAAATGAACAAAAAACAAGCTGTTTACCTACTTGTGTATATTCTGGACCAAATCCTTAGCTCCTGCAAGTAGACAAAGCTCTCTGGAGACCCCTGAAGCTAGGGCTGTTAACATGAGGAGGAGGCATGATGGAGCTGCCTCAGCAGGGACCTCACCCAACAGGTAAGTGATCCATATTTCAGTGGCTCTTGGTGCTCAATTTACCAATTGAGCCACACAGCCCTGTGTTTGCAAACATGTATGGAAAATAAAAACCTACCTTGGTCTTAAACACTCAGTTACTCTGATGGTGAAAGTGAAGTCATATGTGCAGAACAACTGCAGAGCAGGCCCTACTGCCTGCTATACTGAAGGCATGAACTGTTCCCCCAAGAAGAAAAGATGACACAACTAGGCAAAATAATCTACTCTGTTACATGCATGTGCAGGACTCAAGCTAACTCTGTGAGGCCAAAGGAACATTCTTCTGTTGTGAGGAGGCTCCCAGCATCAAAGCATCTTGAATATTTCACTTTCTCAAAGCAATCTGCTGCTCCACAGAGCAACTTAGCCTCTCCTTCTCAGAGAGCTCATTTTCTTAGTCACATGACATATGTTACATACAGTCAGTAACTGCCTTATTTTCAGCTTTGCTTTAAGCTCTCAGAAAGAGCTTCTACCACCTCTTCACAAAACAACATACAATACTGAATATGATCCACAATCAATAGACAGGGGACATAAATAAGAGAAATATGTGATGCAGCTAGAAAGATAGGCAACTGGGAGAATATAAAGGCTGTTATTCTTCTCAAAGGAATATTCTAATTTGTAGCAGTTTTGAAAATTATTTTTTTGCTTTTTGTTTGTCATAATTTTTTTTTTCCCCAAAATGGATTTGGAATTAACTTGCCTTTTCAGATTGAGATGAATTTTGAGGGCATGTGGTCAATTTCATCCTCTTCTAGCAGGAAGCTGTGAAGATTTGGGATGGATTGAAGTTCAGCTGCCAACATGTGGCTTCTTAAAGGCTCTTCAGAGAGTCTTCCAGTCACCATAACTGCAAACAGAAAAAGATAAAAACAAGATAAATTATTTTGGGAAAATGACAATTATGTTCTAGAGCACAAAGCCCCATTTAGCATCTCATCAGAATTGCCTTATTGTAAGGTAAGGATATAGCATGCCTGTAGGTCCACCAATACACAGATAGGATGCTGGCGAGTTTAATTCTTTACCCAGATTAAAAACAAAACAACCAAGGATGGGATGAGACCAATGGGATTTTTTCATTCAGGTTCCTTGAAAGCTTACTTTGTCATAAGGCAAAGTCATACCATAAAGGAAAAACCTTTCAGTGGTTTGCTAATAGAAGGATGTACTAAAACTCGTGAGCAGCTGACTTTAATCAAGCATTAAATGTCTCAAAAGTAGAGGTGCAAGAGAGAATTAATCACTCTAAGCTCTTTTTCTAATCAAGAGGGAAAAACAGGCCTTTCCAGTGGGTGATTGATCAGACTGATTTCAGACTTTCCCTTAAAATGAGCTGCTTTGCTTTGGAACACGTCTCTTTCCTTCTTTTGAATCAAGAGGGAATGCAGGACCAATAGGTCAGATTCACATATATAGGCAGGGGAAAAATCAGGGCAGCTGAATCCCACCCTCACTGCTGCCTGCCACATAATCTTATTTATCTGCACAGGTATTTCAGAGCTATAATTCTCCATGTTTCATCATGAGAAGTTCAGTTCAGTCTTCAGCAACTTTGCAAACTAAAACCTTTTTCTATCTCACCTGCAAGACTTGTTGCTCACTAAAAAAAAGAAGTCTCTCTTCTTGTGCATCTGCTATGCAGACTGAAGGCGTAGCACGTGAATCTGATGAACTGAAACAGCTGACGAATGTTTAAGCGTACCCCAGAGGCTGCTTACCCTGTGACAGATGTTTCCATTGTACTTGTCGCATGTATTGCTAGAAGAGGTGTTCTTATACATGGCCAAAAAGAAGCAAAAGGCTTCAGGAACTCCATGTATGAACAACCTGCACACAAAATCAGAAAATCCTGAATTTAAAGTACGCACATAGTAGAGGAGAAATTTGCCATTGGTTTCAGTGGAAGCCAATCCTCTTCTCTCTGTGTGGGACATTGAGTAGAGCTCCAAGCAAAGCATCATCCGGAATGTTTTAGCTTATTTTTATCAGGATTTCTTCAACAGAATGTACACAGTGTTCTGAATGAGACACTAGAAGTTAATTTCATCTAAAGCTTCAAGCTTCTTCTTAACTGATGTGTCAAGTTTATTCAGAAAGCTCGAATACCCCTAAATGGTTTGGGTGGAAGGGACACTGATGCAAAAAGTTATAAACAAGACTGCCTGGTATCATGCTGACACAATTTCTCCTTGTCACATAGCTTCCACACTATTTTACCCTAAATTCAAGCTGACAGCTGGTCAGAATTTATGCCAGTAGAAAGAGTAATGGAGTTGGTGGTATGGAACCTGCAAGGACTTGCGCACAGATCCAGCCTTATGCACTTGGCTGGCTTGATTTTATGGAGGGCTGATCTCCAGTTCAGAGGAACTGGTAAAAAAGAGGTGGAAGTAAATTGTCAGTATCATTGTCAGTATCATGGGGATTTCAGAGGAACTGGCAAAAAAAAATAGTGGTTGCAACAGTATGTTATTCCAAACTAAGAAAGAGAATTTCTCTTGGCCTTGAAAACAGCCAGTAGCAAGACTAGTGGCTATTAAATTGTCGTTCCACATGCTTGGAACTGAGACCTTAGCTACAGTCCTGAGTTTTCCAAAACAGGTTTTAACCCAGGGGACTGGAAGAGCAGCTGCTTGTCAGGACAGGACAAGGAGAAATAGCGTTGCAGGAGCAAGACACAAAGTATTTGTCCACAAAAATTCCACTGGCACTGCTCTCTTTATGCCCTGTTCATCTTTCTTCTGCTCCTGTGTATTTCTCCTCTTTAGGCTCAGATCCCAGGCAAAGTAGAGATCCTTCATCAGAGACCAGGCAGCCCCTTTCTGAAAAAGAAAACACTTATCAGTTTGATACGGCTTCTCCTTACAATTACATTTTCTTTTGTGGACAACTGTATCAATTATACCCTCAGTAAACATCATAGGTAAGCAAGAACTACAAGCATTACTGTAATACCTGCCAGTTTACTTTTGGGATGCTTTTCTTCTTAAAAGGCAGGCACAGGTATGGCAGTGCTGTGTGCCGGGCAGAAGTGCTCAACAGAACAGCAGACCAGAGGGTGTAAAACAGCTGCTGAAAGGACGGAGCATCTCCAGGTGGTTCAACCAATCTCTGTCCAGGGCACAACCACAGTCCGGCAGGGTTAAAAGGGAGGCTGGCCAAATCCATCCGAGACCTGGAAATCTTGAAACACGTAAAGCCAACACGCATCAGATGAAGAAGGCAGAAAGAAAGGTGCCCCCTAATGAGTTTTTTTTGCGCTTGGGTGAGCGAAAGGGCTGCTTCAGGAGGCTAATAACTGAAAACCTTCCAGGCTTTTGTCCGGAGAAATGGCAGGCACTTTCCATCCCTTTGAAAAAAAAAGAAGGCCTTTCGGAGTCTTCACGAGAGATGTGGATTTTAAGGGCGACCTTAGGTCATACAGAGCTAATCAAGCGAAAACAATAAGAAAATTAGACTGACAGTCAGCAAGTATCTGAGGACTTTATCAAAAAGAATTAGGAATGGACAAATTCACTGGGAGCAAAGGATCAGATCTGCAAGGTGGCATTGTATGGTGGGATTAAATTATTTATTCATTGTTAATTTATTTATTTATGTATGTGCAAATGACCTAGCTGCTGCAGGTGCTGAGGAGTTTCTGAAAAGGCCCAGTTTTAGAGCCAAGGCTAAAATATTGGTCCATTTAACTCATTCTTTCCCTTAAGGCGATCAAACAGTGACTTTTATCTAGGAGATAGAGGAGGAAAACCATATGTGTACTGGGAATGATGCGGGGTCTGAGCAGCACTAAGTACCCAAGTATTCCAGCCTCATTCAAGAATGCTGTGCAGTTTAATGTCCAGCAAATTAGCAAATGAATGCTTATGTCAATATGTGAAAAATCCCTAGTTGGTTTAAACAGATAAAAAGCCTCTTGGGAAATGGCAGGAAATGCAGGGTTTTTCTCTGTTCTTTTTTAAAGAAAGAAATAGAAACAGTACTTAATAACTTTTCCCCAAACTTACAAAAGGTTGCAGAAAACAACTGTCTACAGGGATGCTCCATCTTCTACACACATGAAATATTTCCCGTGCTGCTGCTGCAGAACTAGAAGCAGCTTTTGCCAGGCACTCTTTGAATCGCGCATTTGCTCTTCACAAGAAAACAGCCACAATCTGGGACAGATACAGAGCACATGAGATGTCATCCTGCTGTCCCTTTCTGAAAGGTGTGGGAAGCCAAAAGCCTTGGAGTGGGTCCGTCTTTCCCTGTTCCCCCTGTCATTATAAAATCAATCTCAAAGATGAAATCCATACAAACCTCTCCTTACCCCTTCTATAATTTTAACCATTAAGAGGAAAGGGCAAAAATTGTCATCTCATGTTTCCCTTGACCCAGCAGAGCAAAGCCACAGTGGGGACTCTGTGTAAGACATGACCCTGGGGAAAAAAGGAACATGAGATCTCAGCATGGGGGTTGGAGGCAAGAAGTCAAATGTATCGAAAATGACAGCACCACCTCAGTTAATGCCATGTGATAAGGGAGTCCTGCTGGGTTTTATGTCCTTCTGCAGAGACATACTTGAAGGTTGACACCAACTGGCAAGGAAGATTTCTCTCTAAATCCAGAAATGAGTTGCAGGCTTTTTGGCAGGACAGATCACGACGAATTCTCTCTCCTCAGGACAATCATCAGGAGCTACACTGGGAATAACACAACTGCTCAACAAGATGGACAAATCTACACATCTTAAAACAAGACAGGCAGGTTCGTGTAGAATGTGATCTCACATACTTCAGCTTTGCTTTTATTTCTCGTGTGGGCCATTCTTGGGTCCTCTTCTCAAAACACAGTACTCTTTATGCCACTGGGGAGTAAGGGGTACTAACAAGAAAACTAAAGATATTCTAAAGAGCAAACATCTTTAATAACACTAAATCTAAAACATTGCCTCCAATTAAAAGGTCAGGGAAAGAATTTCTCAGACCGAGGCAAAAACACAGGTTATGCAGAAAGTCACCCTACAGACAGCTTTCCTTTCTCCCTTGAATGCTAGTGAGCAAGAATGAATTTGCTTGATATAAACACCAGCACATCACAAACAAGCTCTCACTTAGCTTCTGCAGCCTGCTGGGACACGCTGCAATCAGGAGCTTCCTGAGCTCTGGTCTTAATACGCAGGCTGCCAGGATGCCTTGCTGAAAAGAGAATACAAACATACCTGCTCAAGTTGAGTCAGATGGAACTGTTTCATTTGATTTTATATAGATCAGATGATCCCTTCTGCTCTATTAAAAATCTAGTCTGCCAATCTGCTAAGACAAAGTCTTATAACCCCCAGTTTTTAAAAGCTTTTGCATGTACAGACAAACACCATAACCTCTCCCATTACCAATTTTGCCAATTTAAAGAAACTAAGCATTCTAATCCCTCCCTATATTTTTCTCTGTTGGTCACGTGGGCATAAAATCTTGGCAGTTTCTCCAGTTTCAGCCCATTTTTGCAAAAGGCATATCTAGTCCTTACTCATAGCAGCTGAGTTATCTTTAGTGAGAACTACTTTCATATCACTGTAAGAGGTACTGGGGGACTTTGTCAGGAATTCTATGCTCATACTTGCACACAGTATTTCACATTGCTTCTCCTCAGTGCCTTTGGAAATGGCATGAGCCAAAAGCTGCACCTGCCTTTTCCAGAGTCACATAGCACTGATAGCTCAGCCATCTCAGGCACAAGCTGCACAACCCAGCCATCTTCCTGCTCATTATTCATACACAGAGAGCCCCAGCTCACAAGAGAAATACTTACTAGTAGTAATAAGGGCACAATATAGTACTGAATTTCAAGTTCCGAAGACCATCCAATTCACCTGCATTGACTCTGGCTTAAACTGTCCTAGTTTAAGCACTCATCAGCTCTCGTGGCCAAAGGATGCCCAGGAGAGATTCCCCTTTGCTCTACTCTCTAATATGCAATTGCCCCCTGACTGCATAGCAGTTACTCATCAACTATTTCTGGCACCTATGGCCCAGACTGATTCATGAAGCTGTAGTGCAGCAGATTACAAAGACACTAGATGGGCAAATCTAAGCAATGGAATATGGACAAACTAGAGCAGGGAGACACTGGCACATCCAGAGCTTTCCATAGTTACATAGGCAAAGAGCTAAATTCATACAATTCAACATAAATCTTCTGGGAATGCCAGGAATTCAACACTTAGCCTTGAAGGGAATCTTGTGAGCAAATGCCCTTATTGTCAAGTCAATACAGGATATAAAATTACCAAAGGTTTCTCAGAGCTCCTCCTGTGGAAAAGTTTTTCAATGGAGAACAGAACTGAGTGGAAAGTAGAGATCTCATGCTGCTGAACATTATTAAAATCATACTTCTCTAACACTGTGGGTTTATTTCAGTGCTCTCTTGTTACAAACAAACAAACAAAAATCCCACTCATTTTGAATTCAGAAACCACATGGACCACTCTGCAGGACACTGAGCTCAACACTCACTAAGTTCAAAAGACTATGCTACAGTCTCATCCTTGCCAAGGGACAAAGCATGAGTTCATGCGTTGTTTCTGCCTCTACTTTCATACATGCAGGTCAGACACTCAAGCACGTTTTGCTTTGGGGTTTTTTTAAGATGTATCATGGCTTAACATTGTTTTCTTTAATTCTATCATTAGTTTATGATTTGGATGTACAGAGCCAGTCTGCCAGGATTGCTGAGAAGTTCTGGGCATTTTTAAAACACAGAAGGTAAAGGAGCATAGCTAGATATTGTATCAACCTTTAAGAAAGGGAAGGCTGGGCTCTCCTTTCAGCTGGAGGGATGTGGTTCAGGCTCCAGGGAAGCCCTCCCATGAATTCAAGCTGTAACATCTACAGCCTACTTCTTACAGACTTCTGGGATGTTTGCCTTTTCCACGTAAAGGCATTCTGTATATGGATAGGAGTGAAGCCAATGCAAAACTGGTGTGGTGTTTTTATGTTCAGCTGGGTACCTGGATTTTTACAGCTCCTCAATGATTAAAAGGTAGACAAAGTGATAAAATGAGTCAACAAAGAAAATTATGCTCTCTTAAGTGTCAAATTTTTTCCTTTTTGATAAAAGACCTTTCCTAGCAGATCTAGAGACTTCACTAAAGCACAAGATGCTTTTAAACAAGAATAACAGATGAAGTGCATTTGAATGGATGGTGACTCTTGTTCTAACAGTCATCAGCTGAAGGCTAAGGGCAAATGGACAAAATGCAGAAGACTGTAAAGAGAGACATGCAAAAGCAAAACATTGTGAAGACAGACATTATTTAAAAATTCCTGTCAAAGCCAGACAATTTGCACTAGTGAATATATCAATAACTGACCCAAAGACCCTTAAGAAGAGGAAGTTTGGCTTGGCTGATCACTCAGCAAGGCAGACATCACAGCACTAAGCACAGTGCAGATCTGCCCTTTTGGGTTTGTTCCATGATGACAGTTGCAGCCTACTGTAGGGAACCAGCTTTAGCAGGAGAGTTGGACTTGATGATCCCCAGATGTTCCTTCCAGCTGCAACGATTCTCTGTTATCATGCATTTTCAGATATACTTTGTATTTTCCTTACCACTCAAAATGTGCAAGTGCTGCTCAGTGAAACACTGATTTAGTCCCCAACTTCAAAATTTGGAGTCAGAGCTGCTACAGCATCTTCAACTAGCAGTGTATCTATTCACTGAAGCCCTGTTCACGTTTAGTCCTAAAAAAATGTAACAGTTCAGGACCACAAGTTGTTTTTCAAATACTAAAACATGACCTTAAATACCTTGTGTAGGAGGAAGGATGAATCCTTAACATTCAGACCACGTGGTTGCTCACAACTTGTATGTGTTCTTTCACATAGTATAAATTCTTCTCAACTGTATCTGAGCTAATGGATAAAATAGTGCAGGGAGAGCTTCCATTGCCCAGCAGCCCAGCTCTGCTTGGGTGTCATCAGGGAATGAAAGTGTGAATCAGAAAGATGTCTGGCACTCAGTCTTTGTCTCCAGAGATTTCCTAGTGGTCCTGCAGGATAACAGTTCAGTTTGCTATGAAGAGAAAACATACAGGAAAAGAAGGCACAGAGTTGGGAATAATTGTGCTGGATACAACAGAGGCCTCTCAAGAAGTTTACAGAAGATCATAATACAGACACTCTGCCCTTTCCAGAGACAAGCATAATGTGTCTTACACTTACATGTGAGATAATTATGTGAAAATATAGAATCATAGAATTGCTCAGGTTGGAAAAAAATGTTAAAGATCATAGAGTCCAACCACAACCTAACCATACTATCCTAACTCTAACAACTCCGTTAAGTCATGTCCCTGAGCAGCACATCCAGATGCTTTTTAAACACATCCAGGGATGGTGACTAAACCACTTCCCTGGGGAGCCTATTCCAGTGCTTCACAACCCTTTCTGTAAAGAAGTTTTTCCTGACATCCAACCTAAACTTACCCTGGCACAACTTGAGGCTATTTCCCCTCGTCCTGTCACCAGTGAGAAGAAACCAACCCTGCTCTCACTGTAGGCACCTCTCAGATATTGGAAGAGAGCAATAAGATCTCCCCTCAGCTTCCTTTTCCCCAGACTGAACAGCCCCAGTTCCTTCAGTCTCTCCTCATAGGCCATATTCTCCGAGCCCTTCACAAGCCTTACTGCCCTTCTTTGGACCTGCTCCAGCACCTCCATGTCCTTTCTGTTCTGAGGTGCCCAAAACTGAACACAGTACTCGAGAAGAGACCTCACCAGTGCCGAGTACAGGGGCAGGATGACTTTTGCCCAGTCCTGCTCACCACACCATTCCTGACACAAGGCAGGATGCCACTGGCCTATAGTTTGTATTGATTAGAATCTTCTAGGAAAACAAACAAACAAACCACTAAGAATATTAGTATAATTAAAAATCTGCCCAGCTGCAATAACTTAACGGCTAACAACTGCTGAGAAACTAACGCAACGCCTAAAAGCGAGGTTCTAAATGCTACCAGTTGGTAAAACTGCCGCGGATTCGAGATGCCCTCAGTTCAGGTCGGGGACGCAGCACCTCGCGTGCCTGCACGCTCCTCCCAGACAGCAAAGAAGTTCTAAACGCATCGGACGGGGACACGAGGACGCCGCGAGGGGGCCGGGCTGGCCATGCGGCGGCAGCTGCAGCGGAGCCGCCGCGCCCCCTGCAGACCCGGCAGCGCCACGGCGGGGAGTGCGGCCCCCCATCCCGAGGCAGCGAGCGGGAGCGGCTGCCTGCAATAGCCGCCCTCCCGGCTGCCGCTCTGCCCCAGAGAACCTGCGGTAGGTGACTGCGTCACCCTCGCTTCCGCTGTATTAAAGAAAAAAAATCCAAGAAAAGCTATGCAAAATCTGAATTTGATCTAAAACTCATGGATGAGTAAGAAAGAAGCCAAGCCATGCGTTTGTCCGTGGTTTACCCCGAGGAAGCTGTGCTGAAAGGCATCCCCTGGTTGTCCATCAGCCGCCTTTTCCACCTCGTTGTACAGCTGCCGTGACCGAGGTCAAGTGATATGTCAGTCTGTCAGATCACACAGGGAGGCAGTGGCTCTTCTCGGATTAGGACAATTCCACACGGCCCTCTGAAAAAGATTTGTAACAAATGTCAGCCCCAACTGTCTGCTGCTCAAAGCATATGTTTAAAGCTCTTAGACATCTCAGTCAAAAGGTATTGTAAATATAGGGACAAAGCTAGGAAACGACTCGTTGTGGAGTTTCAATAATGGCAAACCAGGATCTGGCATGGAAAACCCACACTCCAAACAGGTTTCCTTTAGCGGGGGATCCCTGCCCAGTTTTGCAGCCATTCTGAGACAGCAAAGTATTTCACTTTTTTCCTCCAGCCAAAGGGGCTGAGATGCACTGGCTGAGCACAGGCTGGTGAGCTCAAAGGGCAGAGGGCACAAAACAACCTGCCCACAACTTTCTGACTTGCCAGCATCCTCCTGCCATTGCTTTCAGTGCCTTTTTGTAGTGAAAAGGAAGCGTGCTCAAAATGGTTGTTTTGCTGTCCACTACGTCCAACTCCTTATGCCTGGAATGCTCTATAAAAACATGGTTGTGAAGTAACCTAAGAACCTATTGTTTAAGATGGGGAAAATTGAGGGTAAAAAGGAAAAAAAAAAAAACCAAAAAAACAACACAACTTCAGACTGGGCTTGTTGATAAATACTTAATGAAAACACCAAAAGCTGCCAAATTTCACAGAGAATTCAGCCACCACAGCATCACCAGCAAAATACTACTGCACTGAAATACAACCACATCACTGGGCACTTTTCCTCTCTGCACAATTCAACCTTCTAGCTATGCAGAAGGATATGGCTCCTCTCTTGGCTCACCTCAGCTTCACGCTCATCCTTTTGAACTCATGACAACCTGGCAACATAAAGGAGCCAATGGCAGCTATCAAAGTGCTGCCAGAGGTGGAGGAAAAGCAGAGGAGCAGCCCAGAAGAGAAGTCCCAGAGCAGCATTTGGGTTTCCTGGGAATTACGTTCTGGATTTTTCTTCTCCTTCTGGTCTGCAAAATCCGTTCCCCTCAAATGAGCATTATGTGATTTTCTTTGCCAAGGTTTTGCACTGCTTTATGAGCTACATGACACAGGAACAAGCTTTCCTCTTGGTTCT